TCATGTTCAATTTACATCAAATCAACATCATGTCAAGTTTTTGACGTCAGTTTGATGTCTTTTCAGCATCAGTTGCCCACTGGGTCTAAACCCCATGAGAGACAATATGTACGGGACAGTCTACAAAAATATTACTGAGACATGATGCAGCCCACATCCGTGGCAGATGCTGTATGCAGTGAAAACACACTGCTTTGAAACCTGATCTAAATGTGAGTGTCACACTTCTCTCACAGCTCTTTGGAGAAGTCTGTTACCACTGCAACCGCGTCATTGAGGGAGATGGTGAGACCGTTTGCATCGTTCATATAATGAGGATCATAATAGGAGGATTTATAGCGAAGAGCCCACATGTGTGCTTGACTCCTTCTCTTTTGTGTTGAAGTGGTGTCTGCATTGAACAAGGCCTGGTGTGTCAAATGCTTCGGCTGCTCCACGTGCAACGCCAAGCTGACCCTCAAGTGCGTACCAGTGTTTCAGATGCATGCTAGACAGGAACACATCAGCTTCAAATGTTAAGAACACATTCACGTTTGAGTTATGCAAACCATATTTAATGAATCGGGGAGACTGGGGCTAGTTGGCGTTTATTTAGCATTTCTCTTGGCAGTTTTAAAACAGTTATCCTATATACACAGGGAATTCAAATTGAATTAAACTAAAACAAAGGTTGCTGTCAAAATGAACACTGTTCTTAACATGTGTTATTGTGAACAGATCTTCCATGCACATATTAATTTTGACCTCGTGATCTTTAATCATGGTGTCATTGCTGCTCTTCATGTACAAAGCCAAGCTGCATTTACACCAATCACATCAAAATCCAGTCAACATTCGGTTTTCTGATGCGTGCCTCTTTTGTCACATGATTGGTGTCTCTCCTGTAGTGATGGATGACTAGAGGAGTTTGTTACCCAGTGAAACAGACTTCATAACTCTACAATACACTGGGACTAGATAGTTGGATTTTTACTCATAAGAATTTCTAGGGGTGTTAATACTTTACATGTTTTGCATGACACAATAAAAGGACAAACAGTGAAGGCATTTTTGATTTGGTTTGGCTCATATTTACCAAAAGCTGACAATATAAGGGGGGTGGTGTAATTGAATATACAGTACTGATGAAAGAATTGGCGTAGAGGTAATGTCTATTACTCTGTGCTGTTGTTCAGGAATAGGTTTGTGGAGATGGATCTGAAGCCCGTGTGTAAGCACTGCTACGAGCGCGTGCCGGACGAGCTCAAGAGACGCCTGTCCAAACAAGACTCCAAAGACATGAGGAAGAAGAAAATGCCCATCTGTCTGTGACGTGTCTCTGTTTCGGCTGTTTTCTCCTCAGCGGTCAGTGCTTTCTTCCTCGTGTCACTCCTCCGTCCAGCTGAGAGATTTCTGTCCTTCCCTTGAAAGTTCATGTAGCCAGATCTCTGACACGTACATGTTCATATACAGATTGTAAAATGTAAAAAATAAGCCATTTCATCCACGTCTTTTAAAGAGACACAATCACACTATGTGATGAACAGAGTTAATTTAGTTCTGAAAGTAAACAGAAGTCTTTTTTTTTTTATTATGCCAGGATGTTCATTTTCAGTGCACTAACCTTCTCCATTCCACGTTTCTCGTTTTTATTCACTCACTGGGCACTTTTTTTTTTAGCTACACCTTGCTAGTACGTGGTTGGGCCCCGTTTTGCCTTCAGAACTGCCTTAATTCTATATTCCAGAAGGTGCTGGAAAGACTCCTCAGACACCTTGATCCATACTGACGTGACAGAGCTGCAGTGAGTCCCAAAGATGGTCTGCTGGATTGAGATCTGCTGACTGCAGGGGTCATTGAAGCCTAGTGTTCAAGAAACCAGTTTGTGATGACGTGAGCTTTGTGGCATGGTGTGTTATCCTGCTGGAAGTAGCCATCACAAGATGGACACACTGTGGTCATAAAGCACAGGCAGATTAAATGTTTGTGTTAATGAGCAGTTTAACAGGTGGACCTAATAAAGTGGCCGGTGAGTGTATATGAACAATATGCACTAACAACATGAAAATCAATCAGGGGGGTTTGCCAAAAGCAACTATGTTCCGTTGTTACCAACAGAATTCCATGGAACTAACCACCATAGTTAGCTAACCATGCTTGTGGGAAACGCACCCCAGGCCGGCAAGTATAGAGGCAGTCTGATCTGTTGTGTCCGTTCCACCCCAGAAGACGCATCCTTGTCGTCTGACGTGAACTGATAGGAGTGTGTGAGAAAAATACTAATATTTGAAGCTTTTGAAACTGAAGCATCAGACTCATCAGATTTAGCTGAAGGTCACCTTTAGCTGCTTCATATGCAGCTCTGATGAAGAGCGTTTTACTCTTCAAAGAAAGAGAGAAGTGTTTGTAAGTGCATTATAGTGTATTTGATTAAATATAAACACCCAAAAGCAAGGTGTTTCTCTGTGTGGGGAGATTTGAGATATCACAAGTCGTGTCGTCATGTGGAGCGCTCGAATGAGTTTGACCATAACTGTCCTGGTGTTTGTGTTTGATCAGATGATTTTTCCTGTGGTGTTTTTAGGAGCGTCACGTGAGATCTGCTGAGATGCTCCTGCAGCTGAACACCAGACATCCAGCATTTCACCGCTTCATCTGACTGAATAGAATCGGTCATGAGCTAGTTTGTGTTGCAGTTTAACAATAGAAGGGTTCACGAATAAAGGAATGCAGAGTGTTGTCGTGCTGTTTTGACTTCTCACTTGAGTTCTGTTGGATTGTATTTTATGTTTGGTTGTTATCAGCCAATTGGAAAATCACAGAATGTTCAACTGTAATAATAAGATCTTTGTTCACTATTAAGAGAGTAACTGCACTAATGCCAGCTCTACATGTATTTATCAGTTCTTAGGCAATAAATCAAATCTATTTCATGAAGGCAGGTGTTTGAAGTCTCCTGTATGGGAAGCAGCGGTGATGCTGTGAGTGTCCCGCACACAGACGCTAGCTGGTGCCGCGTGTGTGTGTGTGTGTGTGTGTGTGTGTGTGTGAGAGAG